GGAATTATTTACCTACACACAAGCTCATTCCTATTTGAAAGTAGTAAAACAGTATCTCAAAAGGCCTCGTGTCAAAAACTTTCCTAGGACATCTTTTCGACGCAACCAAGTTTGCAGAATTTAATTGCAACCACATTGCCACACCCAGCCTGTTCTCCCTGATCAATTCAGAAGACACCATACTAAGGAATAGCAAAAATCATGCTAAAAGAGTTACTTGCAGTATCTTTTTCTGGGTCATCCTCTCTTCCCATTCTTTCTCATCTTCCTCTACAGAGCTAAAGTTGTAAAAGGAAAGATGGTCAGTTGCCACGAATTAACTCATTCCCCATAAGTAGCCAAGAAAAAATTGTCTCTTGTTTCCCCAAGAATTGACTGCATACCTATTCATCTGGCTTCGCTCACCTATTTTTTTCTTCTTCTGGTAAAGCCGGAAGCACGTAGATATCGTCTACCTCGTCTCTTCTCACGTCCGAAAGACTGGGGAACTGATCATTGCTGACAAAACAGGATACACGGTATTATCAACTGTTACATATTCAGGATTCACAGACACAAACTCCATAAGGAAGAGAAGGGGTATATCCTTGCCTCTTGCCTGCTAAAGCTGTTTTAATAGCTTGTCTTTTTAGGAAAGTTTTCAAAAGTTTCTCTGTAGTTTTCTTGGAGTCGACAGCTGCTACATCTTTCCGTTGTCTGCGTTTAGCCTGCAACAGTATTATGAAAGAAAAGGGGAATGAGTTGTGGCTCAGGATGCGATGTGAGTCACTGGAGAGCCACTGCCAGTCAGAGCAGTGAATACTGAGCTTGGTAGACCAAGGATCTGACTTAGAGGCGCTCCTAAACAGAGTTACACCTTTATAAACCTATTGAAGTCAATGGGCGCTATGTTCACAATGTAATAGACATACATAAATTAAAGGGCAATCTTCAGTTTATTTCAAAGGGCTTAGAAGAATACAACTATACCTAGGACAGCACGGATAGTGTAGGTCAGAGGAGGCCAAACTTGCTTAACGCAACAGCCACACAGAATAAGCATCAGATGTTTGAGAGTCGCAAGACATGAACAAATACTACACACACATTTTTATCGAAAGATATGCAAATCTGCCTTTTATTAACATTAAATTGCACAGTGTGAACGAGCTGCATGTGGCTCCCGAG